CCCCCCCCCCCTGCCGGCCCTTGGTATTTGCATGTCCCCCCCCCCCCCCCGCCACACACACATACCCCGCTATTTCTCTGATCAAATCCAACAGCCCAGTCAGCTCTCAGCCCCAACTGGCACTGCTGGTCACTGGCCCCTGGAGGCACGTCCTTCCTCCTGCTCTGCGGGCCTGACCTTCACATCGAGGCCTGCGTCTCTCACCGCCTGCCCAGCGGCATCGAGCCTCAACTCCCGTCTTCCACGAAGGCCCTGTGGCTGCCCAGGGCTGGGCCAGCTGCCCTCGGCTTCACCACGGTCCTGGGGTTGACTTCCGCCAGGATCTTACTTGGGAACTCGGAAACACGCATGGAACCATCTGTGGACCCTCCATCAGGGTGACACTCTTGTGGTCACTGAGTCTGCATCCTACTTCACCGTGGGCATGTCTCCTGCCTGACTCTCCAAACCTGCTCCTCCTCCCGCCTCCTCCAGGCTCCATGGCTGACCGGCCAGCAGCTGGGCTTGCTCTGGCAACTGTCCTCCTGCCCGCCAGGCCTACAGCCCACTAGCTCCCAAACCTGAAGTCCTTGCCCTGCATTCTCCTGCCTTTTCATTTCTCCTGAATCAGCTCAAATAACCACCCTTTGGTTGCTCCTCAGCCCCTTTCTGACACTGAGCCTCTGCCTTCCACAGGGTCCTCAGAGCAGACACGCAGCCACCGAGGCAGTCTTTGAACATGCAGACCCGACAAGCTGACCCCTGTCCCCAAATAGTCACAGCATTTACTCCACACAGTCAAATCTAGCTCCTGGTCTGGGAGTCACTGTCCCACAGCACAGGGCCACCTGCCGCAGAGCCAGTGATCCAGGCCAAGGGCTGCGCAGGACATCTGACACACGGAACCCACAGGTGTCAGGTACACCGGCTCACATCTGCTGAATCAGGCCTTCCAGGAAGAAGGACCTGGAATCTGGACTTTAAAGCAAACCGGGTGACTCTGATACTGTCGTTCCCTTGGGCTCAGGTCACTCAGGCTACTGGCCATTGCAATGACCGTTTGTCCTCTGCACTGTCAGAGTCCCGCCCTCCGTGCGAGGTGGGGGGTCACTGTGTGTCCTCCACCTCGATCCACAATCCGCGCCACTGAAATTCCTCTTTTCAGTTGGCATAGATAACAGCCAGTCCCGCACGTACTGCGTCGCTCGCGATGTGCTTGCCTGTGCCCGAGGCCAGGGACCCCGGGGAAGCAGGGAGAGCTACACTCATGGCTGTGTTCCTGGCTGCCTGACCCATGGGCACAGTGTCTAGGTGGCCGCTGGACCTGCCTGCAGGGGTTAGAGAGCCCACCTGGGCCCACGGAGCTCTTGGAGATCAGACCTGACCGCACCCACCCCACCCCTCCACATCGCTGCCACTGTGCTGGTCACTCTGTCCCTGCTGTTGGCCTGGGGGGTTAGGGCAAGGACTGCTCCTCTCCAACATCCACTCTGACTCTGCAGCAGAGGAAGAACGCGAGCTGCAGAAGCACACGCAGAACGTAAAACTGCATAGAAAGGAACGAGACCCAAACCCAACCCAAAGGCGTGGCGGTGCATCCTGGGTGGGTGCGGGTTGTTCAAGGGTCAGCCCGCCAGGCGCGTCCCCCCCGATGATTGGGTGTGTGTCTGCTGCACAGAGCACGGAGCTCAGACACTGTGTGTTCGTAAAGGGCATGAGTCTGTGTGTTGCTTATGTAAAGCACAACTGCAAATTGTAAAAGAAACAGGTCCTTTGCAATGGAGCCAGATCCCTCAGCAGCTCTGAAAGAGCAATTACGAGATCACCGAGATCACCGAGATCACCGAGATCAACGAGATCACCGAGATCACCGAGCAATTATGAGATCACCGAGATCAACGAGATCACTGAGCAATTACGAGATCACCGATGTGCTAAATGCGCAAGTGTATTTACCCTGAGGAGTACTAAGCGGCCCTGGGTCATGGCCTGAGCAAGAAAGGGTCTTGGCCTGCAGGGAGCTCCCGGGCTGGCAGGAGACCCACATCAGAGTCGGCTCTGCTGAAGGCCTGGCCCCGGCCCACTGTGGCCTTCCTTGGGCCCGTGTGTGTGTGTGTGTGTGTGTGTGTGTGTGTGTGTGCTCAGTGCTGCTCTCTCTGCAGCTGGTCTCCCTG